GTAGGGGCCGGCTGGTTTGCCCTGAACGGTGTCCTGGATCAGGGTGGGGGTTCCCTTGGGGGGTGGGGCGGCCTGGGCAAGGGGCCTGTTGTGGTTTGCAGGCCGGCAATGCCCCCATTGGGATGGGGGTCCCCACTGGGGATGGTGCTGGCCTTTGGAGAGGGGCTGGGGCAGTTTGCAGTCCAGTCATGCCCCCATGGGGTGAGGGTGCCCATTAGGGGGCCTGGCCAGCCAGGGTGAGGGGCTGAGGGCCATTTTCAGGCTGGCCACACCACCTTCAGGGTGGGGATTCCCGCTGTGGTGCCTGGCCAGCCTGGGTGAGGGGCTGAGGGCCATTTTCAGGCTGGCCACACCCACTTTAGGGTGGGGGTCCCTTCTGGGTTGCCACGCCAACCTGGGTGAGGGGCTGAGGGCCATTTTCAGGCTGGCCACACCCACTTTAGGGTGGGGGTCCCTTCTGGGTTGCCACGCCAACCTGGGTGAGGGGCTGAGGGCCATTTTCAGGCTGGCCACACCCACTTTAGGGTGGGGGTCCCTTCTGGGTTGCCACGCCAACCTGGGTGAGGGGCTGAGGGCCATTTTCAGGCTGGCCACACCCACTTTAGGGTGGGGGTCCCTTCTGGGTTGCCACGCCAACCTGGGTGAGGGGCTGAGGGCCATTTTCAGGCTGGCCACACCCACTTTAGGGTGGGGGTCCCTTCTGGGTTGCCACGCCAACCTGGGTGAGGGGCTGAGGGCCATTTTCAGGCTGGCTACACCCCCTATATGGTGGGGGTCCCTGCTGGGGGGCCTGCCCAGCCTGGGTGAGGGGCTGAGGGCCATTCTGGGTTGCCACGCCAACCTGGGTGAGGGGCTGAGGGCCATTTTCAGGCTGGTCACCCGCCCTTCAGGGTGGGGGTTCCCACTGGGTTGCCAGGCCAGCCTGGGTTAGGGGCTGAGGGCTGTTTGTAGGCTGGCCACACCCCCCAGTGGGGACCCTCACCCCATGTGTGTGTGGCCAGCCTGGATAAGGGGCTGAGGGCCATTTTCAGGCTGGCTACACCCCCTATATGGTGGGGGTCCCTGCTGGGGGGCCTGCCCAGCCTGGGTGAGGGGCTGAGGGCCATTTTCAGGCTGGTCACCCGCCCTTCAGGGTGGGGGTTCCCACTGGGTTGCCAGGCCAGCCTGGGTTAGGGGCTGAGGGCTGTTTGTAGGCTGGCCACACCCCCCAGTGGGGACCCTCACCCCTTGGGGGTGTGGCCAGCCTGGGTAAGGGGCTGAGAGCCATTTTCAGGTGGCCACACCCACTTTAGGGTGGGGTCCCCGCTGGGGGGCCTGGCCAGCCTGGGTGAGGGGCTGAGGGTGGTGTTGAGGCTAGCCATGTACCCCAGCGGGGGTCCTCACCCTGATGGTGGTGTGGCCAGCCTGGGTGAGTGCTGAGGGCCATTTGCAGGTCCCTCTCTCAGCAGCTGTCCCTGGTGACCTAAGCCTCTGGTGCCCATAAGCCTCTCCTTCAGCCCCCAGCCAGGGTGGGAGGGAAGCTTGGGTTGCCCCTGGCAACCCAAGCCTCCCCCGCACTCTGGCCTGCTCTGTGGCTACCGCAGACAGGCCCCTCCTTCCAGGCCCGCCCCTTTGTTGCCTGGGCTACCCAAGCCTCCTGCCTGCTGTGTTGAGGCTAGCCATGTACCCCAGCGGGGGTCCTCACCCTGATGGTGGTGTGGCCAGCCTGGGTGAGTGCTGAGGGCCATTTGCAGGTCCCTCTCTCAGCAGCTGTCCCTGGTGACCTAAGCCTCTGGTGCCCATAAGCCTCTCCTTCAGCCCCCAGCCAGGGTGGGAGGGAAGCTTGGGTTGCCCCTGGCAACCCAAGCCTCCCCCGCACTCTGGCCTGCTCTGTGGCTACCGCAGACAGGCCCCTCCTTCCAGGCCCGCCCCTTTGTTGCCTGGGCTACCCAAGCCTCCTGCCTGCTCTGGCTGCCTTCCTGGCTCCCACCATCTTTGTCCTACTAATTTGCATACTGACTCCTGATTGACTGGTGGGCGTGGTTTGTGGGCATTGGAAGGGACCCTTCATTTGCATGTGTAGATGTGGTTTGGGAGGGATATGGGGATCTCTAGTGAAAAAAATTCCAGACACAAGAACATTAAGCAGGCAATTTGCATTTTATTGGTTATTTTCTACGCTTGCCATTTAATGATTACAGTCCAAGGTAACTGCTAGCATTTCATACTGGAAGCACAGTTCTAAGTCACTAGAAGCAGTCACTGTATAGTCCTAAGAGGGTGCGTCCACCGTTGCAAGCGCGGTCGGCGGCTTCCTACAGGTAGCTGGCTGGGGTCGGCAGGTCGTCACTGGCAGGGCCGTCCTCCGCTTCTCCTGCAGCCGTCTTCTCTTCGGTGGTCGCAGGCGGGTTCTCTTCGTCTTCATCGTCGATTTCTAAGAATTGCAGTTCTTTGGCAATCAGTTCTCTCCCTAACTTGATGTTCAGTCCTTCGGTATAATGCAGCTTTCGTCTCAGTTCGAACTGCCGCTGTCTTTCGATCTTGTCCAGGAGGAGTTGGCTGCTCTGCGCCTCCTTGCTCTCCGGCTTCCCCAGGATGTGGCCCGCGGTGCCTCTGGCCTGGTCCTTGGTGTCGAAGTCCCACGCCGCGTCTTCTCCGCCGTCCTGGATCCGGACGTGGGGGGCGCTGGGCTCGTTGATGTTCTTTAAATCATAGTCTCTGTAGGCGGCTCGGCAGGTGGCGCGGATGTTGGACTCGTCCCATTTCTTCGACTTTCTGGCCTGGAGTCCGCGGGCC